GGGCTTTCTTATGTGAGTCAGTAACTAACCCCACACTAAAGGGACAATGTTTTTGAAGCTATCTGTTAGTTTTAGATAAAACTCTCTACTGAAGTAATGGAATTTATACCAGGTATGGATCTGACCCTTTGAGTTTAGTAATTACTATAAAGGCGATAGGATTTTATTAAAGTAACCAATTACAGCTATTTGTGCCTTAACTAAAGTGATATACTACATTCTGCTACTCTACAACTGACAGTGGTGGTGCCTTAAAATAAAGGCACCGTATGTCAATGAACTGCAAAATTACACTGGGATTCCCTCAGTCTGCCATTGATGCATTTAACAGGTCAGCAGGATGTCCCTATTAACTTTACAGCTATGGACATTCAGCTCCAGAATTTCAAAGGAGTGTGCCCCATTTACACGCGCAACTGCATGCACAAACTGTAAGCGTACAATTGTTCAGATTGTGCCTACAACCACCAGTAATGAGAAATGTGATGCCTGCCAAAAATATGCACAATGCACTTTAAAACCAAAAAGATATCTTGCACAAGCAAAGTTTGCTGTTCTCCTAAGAACATTTTGAACCACATAAATGGATGGTTACATATTTGAAAGGTATGATGGCATCATGTCCCTGGGCCAAATTCCCTCTTGAGACTGGGACTATGATTTTGTTTAGCCTACAAAGTTCACAAATCCACCCCAGGGAGGCTTTATTCTCCATCTGTTTCACTTGGCTGACATCCTTGCATAGAAAGTTCAGAAATAAACATGTGTGGGTATAGGCAAAGAGATGTTGCTCATCAAGGTGCAAAGGGTTAAAAATACCTTTTGCATCCCAAGTGAAAAATCAACTGGCTAAGAGTTTCTACTCTACCATTTCCTTCTTGCCTTTTTACCCTGGCTGGAGACCCGCCTCTCCATTGTACTCCAAAAGGGTGCAAGTTCTGCCCCTTTGCTCAGATCTAGAGAATAGGCATAGCAGGACCAACCTAAACTCGGTGAGCCAGATCCCCGCTGCGGTAAACTGACAAAACTTCACTGCCGATAACGGAGCTATGCTGCATTGCCCCAGCTGCGGAGCTGACCCTAGACTTTTGCCTCCCAACAAAACACTTGCATTATTTTCCTTCTCTCACTCACTTCCTTAATGATTTCTTTCCAGGAGCTCCAGCGAGCCGTGGAATCTGTAGAATGACTTGCTTGTGCTAAACAAACAGGACACTTAGGACAGGCCTTCTGCAAATGTATTCCATTGAACCTAAACCTTTCCCCAAACAACACATGTTCGCTCAACAGCACTGGAGATAGTGTGGACTTTTTCAAAAGAGCAAGACAGAGCCATCGGTTTCATCCTGTTAATGTCATAGAAGAAACGACTGATTAAGAATAAATTTAGGTCTTTTCTACCACATACAGGATGAACTGGATAGCATCTGGGACCAGAAAGTATTCCAGACTGTCCTTCCTTAAAGAGCTCTCTTTAACGTCTTTAACCACTCAACTACTACTAGTTTATGTTGGTTTCTACCAACAGTGATAAAACAGCTGTTTTTCTTTGCCTTTTATCCCCATTTAGTGTGCACAATGGCCCTGGGAAACAATGTCATGTCCCTTTGTCGAGCTGAGCCTATCTAATGCCAAGCTTTGCCAGTTACAGCATTATTAGGAAAGCAATGGCGGTATTTAGTGAGATACGTGTCTTTTATGTTTGCTGTGGTGTCTTAAATGGTTTGCAGCCTCAGCAGCTTCCATGCAGTAACGTACAGCTTATGAGAAGATTTTCCGAGGCCCTGCTTCCAGTGATATTTCTCAGACATGAATTTGCTTCTTGAGATTTAGAAACCATGTAACCTATGAGAGAAAATACTTATCTCTGAATATGAAAGCTGACTTGACAAAGAGTCGAAAGCAGAAAGAAGCCCATGTCCACCAAGTTTAGAAATAACCAGCCATCTAAAACATTATGGTTTGTATCTGTCTACAGTGGCCATCTACAATGGAATAAACACATAGCATATAGTTAGTAGTTTTACACATTTGCATAAGAATGGGTTGTGACATGGGTTGGTACAGTTGTGTTTAGTGCATATATACATACACACATCTATATGGTGGGATTTTCGTAAGTGCCTAAGGGGGTGAAGGTGCACCACGCCCATTGGCTTTCAGTGATAATTGCGGGATTAACTGTTTTAGGGATCTCTTTGGAAAATCCCACTGTGTGTGTGTGTCTGTGTGTCTAAACACACACACACAATTTGAAAAAAAGAGTTATAGACATCAGAAAACTTTAAACTCAAATTCCTCCTCCCCCCGCCCTCCCCCCAAAACGCTTTCAAATATCTGTATCAACCACACAAAAAATGTTATATTTAGTTTGCTTTACAGTTGGATTAACTCTATAAACACTGTATATCTGTAATGTCCTAACTAATCCCTTGAGGATTAAGTCATTCCAGACACGAACCAACGACAAACTCTGCAAGGGAAAAACAAACAAACACCTTGATTACTCATTTCAAAATGTCTTTTTCACATTCAGAAATGTCCTCATCCTTTGACTTGCTGTAATCCCCACATCCTTTCCCTGTGCTGTTCCCCTCCCCTCCCTGAATCTGTGGTAAAGTTACAAGAAACTATCAGACCATGATTCTCAGCAGAGATGGTCAAGTTATACAGCTGAAATTCACCCCTGTGCAGGGGGACTTGATTCCATCATTTTTGCCCCACCACAGAGAAGTTTTTGGGGCCCCACATTGTTTGATCACACAGGATATACCGCAGAAGGGGGCGAATTACTAATTTTGGATGCCCCAATTTCTGGGGTGCCCAAACTCCAGATGTGAAAGGCCTGATGTGTTAGAGATGCTGAGCAGCTCTGGTTCACTTCAGTTGGAGTTATGGGCAATCAGCACCTCTGAAAACCAGGTTCTCCCAGTGGCATGTGATTGTGCATTTGCATCCAAAATGGCATCTTCCCCACAGCATGACATCACGCACACAATGCGTGTGAGGCCACGCTGTGCAGAGGATGTCATTTTGTCCTACAAAATGGTGTCCTCTTTGTGGTGTGACCTCACAGATGGTGAATGCAGAAGATGTCATTTTGTTGGCATGATTGGGGACTGGACAGAATCATCCCATGGGCACAGCCGGTCCTGGGGCATGCAATACATGCTTTGCATAAAATGACAGCATGCCACTGGGCCCTACGTCTCAGGTTGCTTGACCAAAAATTGAAGCAATGAATTTTAGTGAGTACTTCAAAATCCTGGTAGCCTTAACCTCTCAGCCTTGGCTTCCCTAGCTGGAATATGCAGAACCTAGTACACTGCTTAGCTATCTCAATGGGCTTTTTTGAGGACTAATGAGGCTCATAAAGTACCTAGAAGCTGTTAAGTGCTATATTAAATTTGGGAATCATTCCATGCTAATCACTATGTCTGATTAATGTGACTAGTGGTTCAAGAACTGACATGTTCTTGGAGACGGCTGAAACAGAAGCTGCATTGCCCAATAATTGCATTCTGCAAATGATGTTGAACAGTTCATATTCTAGCTTGGAAAAAAGGGTCAAAGCCACTGAAGGGCTGTCCTGGTTGTAGACAGGAGGTTTCATAGTCACATCACATGCTCTGTTCAATGTGCTAGGCCCTGTCCTACCAACCTCATCTGTGTAGCTGTTACACCATGTGAGTCGGAAGGAAATGACTTCTCTACATCTTAGACCAATGAGGCAATTTCTGCATTAGAAGCAGCAAGAGTTGATTATTGAAATTTTTTCCTCCCCTATTGAAAATTTTGACTGTTTACTGAAAAACCAAAAACTGGAAATTTTTGTTGGCCTAAAACTAAATTTTTGGTCAAAAAGGTTTTCAATGGTCAAAAGTTTCTTTAAAAAGCACTTTTAGTGAAAAATGTCACTGACTCAAAAAAACCCACTCGTTTTCTGGTGAAACAGGATTTTCATGGAATATTTGCAATTGGCCCTAGAAACAGCCTCACATGCTTACCAAATGTAAGTGAACAAAGCAGCATTTACATTACATGACATGACTGCTGCT